CTCCATGGAAAAGCATCAACACTAACCTGAAAGGGTCTACGTGTTATTTGGCTTGGAGATAGGTAGCAAAGTCACTCAAATGGTGCAGCAAACATTCACTAAAGAATGACAAAATAGCCTGAAGATTGGTCAAATCACACAAAGGGTAAGAAACGTCAAGAAAAATCTAGAGAAAGGGCTGCTCAGTTACAGTGGATAAAAGGAACCTTTGGATACCTGTTAAAATATCGTGTCCGTCTGGAGGTCTTTCCCTTAGCATGCTTTGTTCTGTAAACATTTAATGAGACATTAAGCCCTGCAGCAGAGAGTTCTGGTGGTGCACTAGAGGACAAACTCATGGAGTCTCCAGTCTTTTTACTCATTCTGCTACCTCTCCCTGACTTTCTCAGGACTTGTGAAGAGAGTGGGGGATATACCAAGTTAAGAGGTAGGCCCATTTTGAGGTAAATCCTCTTTTTATGCCACCATGTGGAGGGGATACCTCTGGAAATGACATATTGGTAAGATTGCCATTGAAGACGCTTGCTCAAGCCCTTCTTCCAATACTCCTATAGTTTCCCATTAAAATGCTCTATTGCTAGCGAAGAAGTTTACTAATTTATTAGCAGTTTATTACTAATCAGCTATGAGATGACTGAATTCTTAACAGCTGGTCTAGGATGTCCTTAAAAAGGACATCAGTCCTTTTTAAGTGCCAAAGATTTGTCCGAGTAAGCATTTTTTTACATTCCATGTTACACTTGTTACACATACCATGTTATAACTTTCACAATTTTCGGCGCATCCTTTTTCCTCATGGAGAATCTAGTGAGTATTTTATACAGTGGAACTCTTCCTGTCAAGACTTTAGAACTATTTTGTTTAGAAGCATTGATTTTACAGTCTTTTAAAAGAGTTTTTTAAAGCTTGGCCCAAATTAGGAAAAATACCTGCAAGCTAAAAAAATTGTTCATGGAAATCTAGATAATCACAATCTGTGTGGTAAGGTCTCCTCTTGCATTATTGATTGGGCATACATGGTTGTTCAATCAATATAGTTGTCTTCCCAAAATTTTGGAATTATAACTCAGCATTCTGCCATCTGGACTAGAAGTCAGTCTTTGTCGAGTGCACTGAGAAGATTTTAAAGGGTAGACAGTCTTCTGAAAGTTTCTAGCCCCTGGGAACTAGATAAATTAAAATTTCTCAGCGATGAATGAGAGTAGTGAAATAATTCCAGTCTAAAACTTTTTAATGACTTTTTTTTTTTTTAATTCAGGGTGTTTTAAGATGTAATTTTTATGTCTAAAACACCTGGAATCCAGTGAGGAAATAATGAAAGTGCTGTACAGACAGAGTGAAATCACTGTTCTTTATTCAAAGATTTGGAAGGGAAAAATAAAGATACGACACAATAGAAAATAAAGGATATGACACAATAGATGACAGTGTCAAAGAAGCCAGGCCAGGGGGTGGAGGGAGGATGAAAACAGTAGTATCACGGGCAGAAGCTATGGTTAATGAGAAACCATGGTTACAACTTGCTAGTTCAATTTCTGCTACAGATTTTTTGTGAAGGCTTCAAAGACACTTTGAGCTAAACCTTCAAAAAGTTCTTGTTTACTGTGTCGGAGTATTCTGCTTGTGGGAAATAGGATTCAAATAGGATTCAAATAAGATTCATGAGAGACAGTGTTTTGATTGGGGAGCGACCCATTATTGATTGAGAAGAGGGATTTGTCTTAAATCTGGCACTTTTGTAAAACTCAGTACCTTCCTGTCTAGGTAGTTCCCATTCCTATCTATGCACGTTATTTTGGGCTGCCATAAGGTCCTTCATTTTAGATGTCACAGCCTTTATATCTTTTGTGTTTGGATGACTAATTGCTTTCTTCTAAAGCATGAGGAAGGATCCTTTAATAAAAGTAGTCAAGTTGCAACTCCATAATAGAGATTGTGTCCTTTTAAGATATTGATTCTGGTTTAACAAAAAGTGTATTAATGACCATGGAAAGAAGGAGTAAAACCAGTCCTCCATGTTCTTTCTAGTCTTCCAAATTTTCCATATTGCGGCAAAAATGGAGTCTTTCTTTTTCCTGTCTTTCCTACTTTCATGAATAATCTAAACAGTCATTCCTTGGGTATCCTAGCCTTAATCTGGCTAGGAAATGGCTAGGATAAATACATGTATCTGTTCCAGGTTTCAGAGCAGAGAGCTGTGATAATGACAGGGGTGATACGATAGATGAGTTGGAGATCAAACTTTCTGGCTAGGCAAGCAACACAACCTTCTTCTGAACATGGACCTCACTGGAATAAACTAGTACCATGGCTCTTTTCCTGCTGCAAAATGTGACATGGCACAGAAACATAAAAACTGTATTGGATCCAATGCTTTTCCAAAGAGTCAGGTTTACTGGGCACAGGGAGCCGAGCATGCACAGCAGTAAATCGCTGCCTGTTCCCCGGTGAAAAACAGCAGCCAGGAGCAGGCGTGCGTTGCCAAAACAGCTCGTGCCACCTATGCCTGCTGCTGTCTGTCCCGCTGCTGTTTCCTTGGAGTGTCCGGGGAGGGACTACAGGCCAGAAGATTTATTCTGCTTTGTCAGCCTGCTCCCAGTTGCTGTTTTTCTCTGCTTGTGCTATCTGTTAGGAGAGGGACCTCAAGGCCCTCAGGAAAGGCATTGCTGGGAGTGAGCAGCAGGTCAGGCAGGTTGTCCTGGCAGGCAGTGTACCAGTTCTGTTGTGGTGATCTTTGCTACAGCTAGTAATAGATATGATGGCATGCTTGATTTACAGCTGGCTTAGTGTGGTGGCCACCACAGAAAACTCTATGAGAAGAATCAGGTCATCAAGGCTGGGTAGAGGCTCTACTGAAAAAAAAAAAGAAAAAAAGAAGGTGAGTTAGGCTCTGTCACATTTGGAAACAGACCTCGGTACCTGTCAACGAGAGGCAGCTACAGTGATATACTTGATGGTGAAGACAGTGTCTGTCCTGGAGAGCACCAGGCAAACTCCAGCTGATGAAAAGTAAAAGAAAGAAAAAAGCAAGTGGCTTAGATTTGAGTCAGCGAAAGAGAATGCCATCGGGGTGTAGCTTGAATATTTTGGTCCATTCCAAGCTTATTATTTTCTAGGAATCAAAGACAAGTCTTGCACATTTTGTATTCAATTTTATTAACATATTTTGACTTTTTGCCCTTTTCTTGTGCTATATAATTGTATGCAAGTTCCATTTGCCAGTGATCTGATTGGATGTCTCTCTTTTCTTTTTGGTTTCTGTAGGATAAAATCATGGGTAGATAAGATGCAAGAAGATCTCGTAACATTAGCACGAACTGCAAGCGGAGTGGACCAGCTTGCTGCGGTGAGTAAGAAGACATGCCTTAGACTGCAGTAACTAGGAAGTGAAGCGAATGGTGTGCATCATCTAGGCATTATGACCATTTCATCCCAACATAGTAAAAAGATTTTGGGGAATTAAACTCTGCAGTGCTTACCGAGAGAGAAATGAATAACACAGACATCCATCAATTCACTCTCTTAATGTTGCAGCACTGCTCATTGCTAATATTTAATCAGCTTTGTGGTATCAGACATAAGGCTTACCATTGTTGCAACACTTCCACCTGAAGCAAGCGCTTTTATGTTATATGTTTGTCAAATATGGTATCCAGGAAGCAACCATTCACGGCAGTGGAAAATTCTGCTCTCTATTAACAAGAGAGACTATTTTTCTGACACATATTTCCTGAAATGAGGCAGCTTTTGGTTAGAAGAAACGTAGATGAGAATGAAATCTACTTTCATTCAGCTGTTCCAATTTAACCCAAAGTGTGTTTTAGGGAAGAATTTACAATTCTTCTGTCATTGAGAAGAAACTTTTGTGTTATGTTGCACTCATAGAAGGTAGAAACACATCTGAGATTGAAGAAAAATGAAGTCACAATTCAGAAAATGTCAGGATTACGCTGCCTATACAACTTTGTGTGTATGTGACATCATGATCCAATATGCAACCACATGATCATACATTTACCTCTCCCTATCCCTGCACAAGTCCCATGGCTCCTTCTTTGAACCGATGGGTCTCTGGGTTGATGTAGGACTGTATAATGAAGGGAAATTTTGCTGTTATGTCAGGAAAAGAAGTTACTGTTTCAGCCAACAAAAGCCCTTGGTGCTGGGGAACTGAACATGAAGCTGTGAGATTTGGTTTTCAGAAGTCATAATCTCCCAGATCATCCATGAAATGAATAGTAGCTGTGTTTCAAAGCCATTAAGAAACACACAGAAAAATCAAGTGTGAAGTTTCTCAGATTTAACACTGTATATTAATGTATTCCTTTGACCCTAATGACTTTTTACCCAGACATCCACATGTCTCATGTGAATCCTGTCCCAGAAGGACATTTTCTCTTTACTGACTATAAGAAGAGGCTAGATGACTAGCTCAGATGTCCATGTTTACATTGTGGAAGCTTCAGTTTAGGTGAGATCACCACTGTCCTATAGAAGGAAGGGCTGTGTCACTGCATGTACATGAGGAACATAACTGAAGGTTGCAGAGATTATTTTAGTTCTGGCCTTTCCTAATATTTGAGTACTTCATATTGCAACACAGTCTAAGGCAGATGCTTTAGATGCATTTTTTAATCTTGGAAAACCCCAAACAAACTGAAAACGAAATCTTGAAATCCTAACACAAAACATCAGATTGATACACACACGTTTCCAGCATAGGATCTCAGCAACACAGAAATGTCTTTCACTTGAGATTTCTGAAGAACCATAAGGTTTACCCAGCATGGAACACTGATGGGAGTTTTTGTAGGTGGATTGCACGCGTATCTGCTGACAGAGAACAATGAGGCTTGTGAATCATGTCTCTCTCTCCAGGTTTTGGTGAGGAGTTTCTGCTAAGAGGAGGGAGGGCCCTTTTTGGTCATCTAATCTAGGTGTGATCAGTTCTCTTCTGCACTTGCCATGTCTCTTTTTCCCCATCGTCTCCTCATTCAGCATCATACCTCTGATCCACCAGACTTTCCATTCCATTCTTGCTGTGCTGCGTGGGCTATCTTTCATCTCTCCTCAACATATTCTATGTTTCTGTCTCAGTTTCTACCTTTGCTGCCTGGCCAGTCTGCCTTTCTCCCTTACATTGTCTTTGTATCCTTATTTTAGGGTTTCTCTCCTCAGCTTTTTCCAGTTCAGCACCTCTCTCTGGGCTCTTCAGTTTGTCTTAGCATTTCCAAAACATTCTGTCCAGGTGTGTGTGGCCAGCCTGTCCCAATACTCCTATTGCATCTCCTCTGTTCCACAGGTATTTTTCTTCCCCCTTCTCACGTTTCCCTCCATTATTAGTTCTCAGTCCCAGACCTGTAGTTTTCTCCTGTGTACTTTTTCTATTTCTCCTCCCCTTCCAGTCTCTTCTCTCCTTATTCTTTGCCTGCCATTTTCCAGTCTGTTATCTCCTACTTCCATATCCCAATCTCTTGCCCTTTGTTCTTCATTCAGTTTTCATCTCCTCTTTCTCCCACTGCTTAGACCACAAGGGTGTAGAGATCACCTGAGAGACCACAGCAAGCCTGAGCCTTAGCTGCAGAGGAGGTGTGACATTATCTAAGAGTGATGCTCTCTGGGTTGGAATACACCTGTGTGTAGGTTCTCAGGGATTTAGCTGATAAAATCTCTGCAGTGACCTGCAGATGCTTTTCAGGCTAAAATTCATTAAGCACCAAGGAGTAAAAAGTGTATCTTTGAATACATGCGTTGAGTTTTTAATCTACAGTGCAGAGGCAATAGGGTATCTCAAAGGGAAATGAGTTACAGAGGATTTCTAACTTGAGCAAAACAATGAGTTAGTGTCTCAACCATTTTGCTTGACATTTCCATGCAAAGACCGCATAGTAAAATAGATAATGAAAAGCCAAGAGATTGACACCGTCACTCTTTTTTTTTCCCTGAGGAAAAAGTTAGTTTATGTAGTTAATGTTCGGCAAACTTACAAGCTGCTAAAACAGTCTTATAATGAGAACAGCTGGGCAAACTTAATAATATGTAGTGCCACCAGCTATACTTAAAGTATACCACAGTGACATTCACGCTGAAAAAAGAAAACATTAATCTGTGAATATTGTAGGTAAGTTTCTTTTTCAAAGCTAAAATTTATAGCACACTTCAAGCAAATAATGTTATCTCAGAGGGTATCCACAAGGTGGTCAATATGTGCTTGTAATCCTAGGATTAAAAGCATGAAAGGGGGATGTTTCCAAGTAGAATATCCCTCTATATCAAAGCTGTTTGTTTGACCTAAATTGCATGATATCTTTCTCTAGCCACAAGGTTTTAATTAGCTCTCTTGCCTGCAAGGGAGAATGCAAAGCCCTGGGAGGTGTGAGCCATGCAGTCTCTCCCTCTTTCCTCTTGTTTACAGGGTATTGTCGCTTTCCCACTTTTGAATGACATCCTTTTTTTTCTGCTCACTGCCTATTAATCTCTTCTGAAATGAACCACAATCTTGGAAAAATGGAGACTACAAGACATTAAAAACAGCATGCTTGCATGCCTGTCACTTTTATTCACAGAACTTGCCTTCAGTTGCTCAAGCTTTAAAAATACTTAACAGTCAGACTGAATTTTCAGCTTTGTTTCTGTTTTCACTTTTTCTAACTCCAGAATTGTTTGGACCAAGTCTGTAGTCTTCATGTTTCTGGAAAACTTCAAAAAAGAAATACATTTGGGTTTTCTGCTCCTCCTCCCTCCAAAAGCAGAATGATTAATACAAAAAGAAGGAACAGAGTGCTCTCATTATAAAATAGTAGACACGACTTTCTGTGAACAGCTGTAGTACCAGAGTGTGTAGGGTTGGAAAGGTGTACTTTGGTCAGACAGATTTTTGGTAGGAGACATATCTTTCCTTGTTCTAGGGAAAGTCAATTTTAATTTGGCCAAGTGATGAGGTTAAAGCTCATAGCAAAGTTGTGTAACAGATTATAATCATTTCACAGCCTGGTCAACCTCTCCCTGGACTCAGGGAAAGAAGTCCCACTGATTCAGCTGAAGTTACAATCTGTGTCTGCTTCATGAAGCAGATCTTCTATGAAGATCTCTAAAGTGACCAAGATAGCTCTCTAAGTAGCACAATTACTATGTTCTCAGCTGGAGTGAGTTAGTTCTTCAAAAACCAGGGCTTTTTCAGTTAGCTACTGTGCCATGCAAGTTTATGGTGTTTCCATAACTTGTTGAAGATATCTCAGGGTTCATCAGTGCTGTATGTGCTTGTATGTGCATTGGATCTTTTCTTCTGGCCGTCATGGAGAGGCATAGGAGCGCCGCCTGAACTCTCAAATAATTTGATTTTAGACTGGCAGAGCTTTTGACCAGAGAGAATGTAAAACTTAAAGTGTAATATGTACTTCCAAAGGAATAAAAAAATTCAAATCTAAAACACCATTAAACTCAGGTGAGGGACTTGTTAGGTGAATAGCAGACCTATTGAGATCAGTACCTATGTAAAAGTCTTATTTATTGTGCAGTGTAGACATAGATATCCAGGGAGAGCATTTTTTTGTATTTAAGGTGTTTACATTCAACATGTACTCAATTTAATGGAATCCTGTTTAAGGAGAGGAATCTCTTCAGAGGAGAATTCCCTTTTCTTTGTTCATTGACAAATTTCTTACAGTGACTTGGAATCACAATCTTGTCCTAGTGACTAACCACACTTCCTCTTGCTTTTGCACATATAATAGAGCCATTGTGAACCATTGCAACTTTCATTAATCACAACTTTTGAAAATATCTGTATAGCAAGGATACATAATAATATATTCATGAATATTCCACACAGTGTTAAAAAAGAGAAAATATTTGGGAATTGATTGAGTGAATTACTTCAATAGTGACTATGCTTCTGAAAATATGAATATGTTTATGTCAACGGACATTTCACACACCTTTTTTCTTATTAGCAATCATGACAGCAATATAATGTCTGTAGGAAGCAAAATTGTGAAAGAAAGCTTGGATGCCATTAAGTTAGGAGTCCTACATTGAGGCTACACTTATCCATAGCCTTAACCAAGCAAACCAGTGTAAGTGGAGTAGAAGGAACAGACAAAATGGATATGTGTAGGAGATGGAGAGGCAGGCAAGAGCTGAGGTTTATTATGGTGCACATAATAACCTCAGCACAGAGGAAACACGATCTTTTAATTTATAGATGCACCTTTACTCACTAATTGATGTTTGCCATACAGAGAGAATCCTGATCCAACCAAGAATTGAGCTCAGATTTTCATTTTTCCATTTAGAACTTTAACTAATCAGAGATCATTCTTCCTCTGAATTAGTTGTGCTAAACTA